AGAAGCAGTCTAGTCAACGTCAGTAGCCGGTGGGAAGAAAGATGCCTGTGTCAGTCAGCCAGCACCCTGGTAGAGTGCTTGCATCTGTGCTCATTGGAGAGACTGACCAACAGTGGAGCCTTTCCTCGTTTGGTAATTACTATTATTTGGACTCCACACAGGGAACACAGTAATGTCTGGCTTCTAAAATGATGATTTGACATACCTACTTACTCCTTTTACAAATGTTTTATAGTAATCCGTATATTTATATGGCCTGGGAATTTATCCATAATTTATCCATTATAAGACCTTTTAATAGTTCATTAATTGAAGGGTTTGGCAGACAAAAAAGGAAAAATTAAGCTTTCCTTTTTTTTTTTTTTTTCTTTTCTTTTTTAAGGAAATGTCAAACTTCTCTCTTCTGTGTTTGGACTGCTACTCCAGTGTAAGATGAGATATAAAGGTCATAATATTTTGAAAATAATTATCACTGTTTTCTGCAATGTTGATTTTGACTGGTCCACTGCATATATTGAAAGGCTAATATTGCAAGGATAGCAAAAGTATGAATTACGTGGTACTTCTTTCAGTCCATTTACTTCCCTAAAGTAAAAAATTTTCTTCATGAATTAATTTATGCAAATTTACCTTGGTTGCTTTTGATACGTGTGCTTGTAGGAACTTCTACTAGCTCCTTGAAACAGATGGAATTTTGTTTTGAAAATGGGGGTTTTAATAGAAGAATCTTACACAGTCCTTCCCAACCAGGAGCAGCTGTCACTGGTCTGGATTTGTAAAGTACTATTGAGAGAGCAGTGGATATGCTGGGCTGTAGAGTCGTTAAAATAACTTTTCTGCATATAGGAGGTAACAGTTATGGCTGGTGATATTAAAGGCGTTTTGTTCAGAGTTGTTCTGATCTGTTGTCTCTGGATCTCAGTCTGATTATCTGCCTTATTAATTCCCTTGCAGTTCTTTTCATCTATTAGCCTGCATGAGTACAGTATTAACCATGAAGTGACACACTTCTGCTTTTGGTTTAACCAAATAGTGAATTAAATCAGTATGCAAAACTCATCTTGTAGGATTTGTTTTATCAATGTAATTTTAACTGTTCCTTTCAGTTTAATAATAATTGTGAATACATTTCATTACTAATATTAGTTTGTTTTAGTAATTCCTTGTAGGAATTTTGTTACTGTTATGAAAGTATTATTGTGATTCTTTATTTCGGTTGGTTCAATTCTTGCTTCTTCAGTAGTTAGTATCATGTTTTAACTGAATGGAAGTTGGCATTAAACTCCTTAATTTCTTTCATATTAAATTCATTGGAGGGGTTTGGCCCAGTGTTTCTTTTGAGTACATTTATTTTAAAAGTGCCCTTATTGCAAGTATTTCAAAGATTAAGGCTTCTTTTTACTGAAAAATAGAGTTTTAGGGTTGTGGCTTATATGAACTTTTTTTTTTCCTTGGTACGTCTTCATAAGATTAGTGAACTGAAGTTTAGATTGTATATAATCACAGCAATAATATCCAGGTATTTACCCTTACATGTAAATTTGTTGTTTGTATATATTTCATAGAATATGGACTCATATTGTCTGTTTGTATAATACAGGTAAACTTTGTAAACCTGTATTAGAAGTTCCTTCCTGAGTTTTTGGTAAGCCCAAATCAGGATGGATAAGGAATTCAGTACCTTGTGATTGAGCAACATATTCTTTTATGGGTCTTTTTTAGTGGTTGGCCTGTGATTTGTTGGAACAGCCAAATACAAAAATCTGTTATGTGTTATTTTGGCTTGGCAGAAATAATGCAAAGAACTGTCAGAGGCAAAGAGTATGCAGAAGCTGTAATTTCCTTTTTACCACTGAAGAATAGGTTTGGCTGGATTATGCCTTCAATGCTAATCTATCTCTGTGTGGCCAAACAGATTTTTGGAACCTTTTTGTAGCGTATTTATTTTCTGTTCACTTCAGGCCAAGTGTTATAATGTCATATGTTTTTTTGGCACATGCAGGGTGGTAATGTGAAAAAAGTTAGAGAGAAGGAATTGGAGTTAAGAACTCTGATCTAGACCATTTAAATTGAGATTGCCACTTGATGCAATTAGGTCATGGCTAGCAATACTTGTATGTTCAACTGTGGGTTTATTTTTTTTTTTAACTTTACATGTTGCTTTAAAATTAAGGATCACATTTAAAATTCTTCAACAGTTCCAAAAGAATATATTGTGAAATTTGACCACAATTTTATACCTTTTTAGTTAATTCAATCGACTATTTAAATAAGCTTAATTTCATTCTTCCTTCTACTGGTAAGCATGTTTTTCTTTCTACACTATTTTAACAGAAAACACGTTTCCTCTTCTGATTGTAATAGGGTCACACTCCTTAAGCCTTCTGTCTTAGCTAATGATTAGTAACGTTTCTGTCTTGAAGCATTAATTTGATACATTTAACATAATATCTATTCCTTCTATGCCTGAATGTGTTTCAACGTCTTCTGTATTTCAAAATGATGGGACAGATATACTCAGGCTGTACATGCTTCTTTCTATGGCTTTTAGTTTAGAACGAAACAGTTAAATCCCTCTTTCTACTCTGGTTTCCCACTATACAGATGACAGCATCTCAGCTGCGAGCACGTCTGATGTCCAGGACCGTCTTTCAGCCCTGGAGCTGAGAGTACAGCAACAAGAAGATGAAATCACTGTGCTAAAAGCAGCATTGGCTGATGTGCTAAGGCGTCTTGCTATCTCTGAAGACCATGTCGCTTCTGTGAGAAAATCAGCACCAAGTAAAGGTAAGCCCATATTTGGTAAATTCTTTCTAGACTCAAAATGTTATCACTTAGAATGCTCTCCATTGATGATAACTTTTTTTCCTTTTCTGTCTCATTTGGAAAGGCAGGTATATTTTGAGCTGGAGGGGTTAGATTTTTAAGAGTGGCTTTATAGTATATGGCTAATAGGTATCTGAAATATGCTTCTTAATTTTGCTGTTTGCTAACATTTTTATGTACTTAACACCCCTGAAAATTTACCTTACTTCTTGTTAAAAGCTTCCTGTTTTAATTTAAATGGTGAAATGTTTTACAGCTGCGGTCTTTAACCTGCCACTGGGGGTTCTGGGGCTTATGAGCAGCTCTGAGTCTTGGCTTTGACTTCACCTAGAAGTTATTCAACTGAAGGGGTGTTTTAGAGGCTACATTTCCCCCTGCTCCTAAATTAAAAAAACAAAACAAAAAACCCAAAACACATTGCCACCAAATAAGGAAGTTTTCTGAATATAGTTAATTTTTGTTCATCTACAGAGATAACTCATCACCAGTAGGTTTCTTGTAAGAAGTGGCCATATAGCCACTCAGCAATATCTCTTTTGCCTAGTAGCTAGTAACTTTTACATCGTAACTTTGAAATAGATAAGATTGTTTAAAAGTAAAGAAACTAGGCGCTGTTTGCGCTACTTTTTACATACTTTTTTTTTCCCATGAATATTTCCTTTTCTATTCTGGAGAACTATTTGAATTGAGTTACTTGATTTTACTCCAACTTAAAATTGTGTACTCAGAGAGAACTATGGCTACATATGTTTGTGGTACGTATTAAACCTCTGATTAAATAAAAGTTTAGGTCATATTTCAGGTAATTCACAGTTCTAATTCACCATAAATACATGTATCCTCATCAAACCACGCTGTGTAGAGTTTTCTGGGCTCAATCCCTGTATTTCAGCCTTTGAAGTACACTCATTACAGCAACGCCGGTATAATACTGAACTGACACATCATAGCCTATGTTTGTTTGGGTGGCTGCATTATACAGGCTGAAAATGCAAAAGCTGAAAATGCTGAAAGTTTGAATTATTTTAGATGTGGCAGAGAGATCAAATTCCTTAATTATGTGTATTTGCAGTCTCTGCCAGATGGAAGTGATGATGCTTAATTGGCTCGGGCTCTGAATCCTGTCATTCTGTCTTGCTTGCTAAATGGTAGACTGTTGTCATCCCTGCTTACAAATGCAGCTTTTATCTATCTGGTACACATCTCTGGTCTCATCAAGATTGAGACTTCCTTCTGTAACTGTGTAAATAGAGCTCTAGCAAGTATTTTGACTAAATCAGTCTTTGCTGTCTGCTGTCCATTATGACAAAAAGAAAAAATGCCCAATTGCAAAACTGCGGGCAGAATTTGTGCAACATAGGACCTTATTCTTCCCACTTAAATGCAGATGAGCTGGTATATGCACAAACATGGCTAAAGACCTTTGGCTTGGAGCTGGCTAATATCCAGCAAACTCCGTGCGCGGGCACGGCAAACTTGCTGTGTTTTGCAAAATGCCTTGGGGCCATCTCCATACTGGGGGTCCTGGGGCCATACTGAGTTCTCCAGGTGAATTTGTTAAGTGAAAAATAAATTAATTATTTCTTGGGGTGGGGACAGGACATGGTGGAATATCTAAATATCTTCAGCTTTGTGCTATTACATCTCTACCAATGAATGACAACAGCATGTAACTGTGAAGAAAGAGATGGGGGCAGGGGCAGAGATGTACACATATGAGCTAATACATTGAGCTTAAATGAGTTATGACTAATTGACACTGTATTTAATTTGTGGTGGATGTGTCCCCATTGTGTTCAGTTATGTAATACCACCGGGCAACACATTAACTTTACTCTTGTCGTGAAATCAGCTGCATATAGATAGTGTAAAGATGTCACAAAAGAGAATGTTCACATACAGTCATGGTAATTTTGTACAAGTATAAAATTAGACTTGAAGAACGAGTTTGAGATTAACATTGATTTAAACTTAAACATCAATATTTTAATAAATAATTCTGAACAAGTTCATACATAGCTTTTTGCAATACCTTAGGTTCTAGTTTTGATTTCTGTATTTTAAATTCACTCAATAGATAAAGAACTCTTGAAAGCTTTCAACAAAGAGAAATGTATTATTTTCGTGAATGAGGATTGGCAGAAGATCTGAATTGTCATACAAAAATAATACTCAAGGAAGTCATTGTTTATTTTTCTTTGAAATATTTTATGGGTACATAACAGGCTCTTACTAGTCAAGTCATGGTTGCTGCAAAGGTAATTGTATTCCTCCAAAACTCTTTTTGGTGTTTGCGATCCTGTCAAGAATCTGGATTTCTGCATTACAACAATTGTGTTTTCATGGTAAATATTATGGGTAGTATTTCTTTAAAAAAAATGCTGAGGCTTTGATTCACAGTATTTGTCCCTACAGCAGCCCTTAAATACATGCTGACATAAATAATGAGCAAAGAGAATAGCTGTGTATATATTTCTGAATACATCGAGAGAGATGAGAGATGTGTTTAATTTGAAGTATGACAACACAGTGAGATAAATACTTTTAAAATAAACTGAACTTACAAGAATCATAGTACTGGAAAAAAACAACTTGAATCTTTCCATCAAACAAAAGAGTTCTAATCTGAGTAAGAGACAATATCTAACCTAGTTCGAAGGAGTCTTTCCTACTTGTTGCTGAAATGAGTTTGCTAAAACCTCTTCATTTTTTTCATGTTGCCACCTCAGCAGTGTCTTTGAAGAGAGGTTTTTCATAGTCTAAAAATAAGTGTTGTGAACGGAGTATGAATCATGCTGAAAGGGACAAATCCCAATCATTTTTTCACTGATTTTTCTCATTCTGAAGTTGATGGCCCAACTTAGTGCAAAAAGAGATCTCTTCATCCTTTGTGTTAGTTTGTCTGCATTGCATATCTGGTGAGCTATTTATTTTCTTATTTTTCTTATCCCTTTATTTTAGATTGACAGATGGAATCAACAGTAGCTGAAGTTAAATTTTTTGCATTATCCTTGTAGTCTTTGGTTTTCTTTTTTCCTGCATTTCTGTTGCATGCTTATTTTGAACTTAGTCCAGTCTTCAGTGAAAAAATTCACATGGGCATGGGTAGATTTTTATTTCTAACCCGTGGGCTGTCAATGAGGAGGTTACTACCTATGATTTTGTCTGTCTAGCCCTGCCTCAGAATCAAGCTGCTCTTTATACAGGGTTAGGTGATTTGCAAACTGTACGAGGTAAGCTAAAGAGTGAGATTTTTTTTAGCCACCTTAGTGCCTCTTAGTAAAGCATGAAGCGGAGATACCACAGGAGGGAAATACCTCTAGTACAGATTGCAACAGAATTAGCACTTGTCTGTTTTTGCACAGTGAAGAGCAGACTGGGAGTGTTTGCATGTGGCTTGTGTTCCTCTTTAGTATTTCTCAGTGCAAAGTCATTCTAAATAGAGAAAATCTTTTCAAAATAAAAAGGCGACGACAGTAATTCTCCATCTCTGCACACAGCTAAGAATAACTACACAAAGGAGAAACTACCAGGTCCAAAGATAGTGTTGAGGATTTGAAATGTGAAAGGGCTTGATTAGGGAACAGGTCCCCAGCAGCTACGGGGTGGGGGGGGATTGTAGTGTGAGGGTGCATTTGTGTTTTGTTGGGTTTTTTTGGTTTGGTTCCCCCCCCCCTTCTTTCTTTCTTTTCTTTTTTAATAGATGGCTCGGTAATAAGAATTTCTTTGGTGAGAAGTTCTTTGCTTTTGGCATCTCTGTGCTCTTGTTGCCACATGTCTCTGCTGTTGATGCATGATTGATGCTGTTAACATTCACAAAAAGTTCCAAAAACAAAGATTACCTGGACACTGAAGAAAAGGAAAGTGTACAGCAGTCTGGTGCTTGCAGCTGCCAGCAAGATAGATTGTCTCACAGCTGGTGCCTGGTAAACCTATTAAAATCTTCCAGGGTGTCAAAATGTGTGTAACAGTAGAATTCATCCCTCAGGCTCTGGGTATGGAGACAAGTTTGTGGCACACAATGGCACCAGTAAAATATCTCAGACTAATCATATCACTGGGCTATGAGCTCTTGCCTGAAAAGGTGGCCATCTACCAGAAAGTACATCTGATGTCTGCCTGTAGAGAAACAAAGAGTTCATGTCCTTTTTCTGGACTCGGAAGTAATGAGGAGGCTTGTCACAGGTTAAACCTTTGGAGGAACATTTCCTATTGCTTGGACAAGAATTGATACCAAATAACTCATATGGAAATTCAGCTCACAAAGTGAAATTGAAGCAGTGGATGGCAGTTTGCAGAGAGGGTCTGCCATGGCAATGCAGGCTGGCAGACTGGGAGGCGTTTATTTTACTTAAAGTAGTGATCTTGGGGACCTGCAAAAGCAGCTATGTACTGGAAATGCAGGTGGGTTTTTTATTTTTTTATTATTTTTTTTCCTTTGTGCAGTGGATTTTTATAATAGGAACCCAGAGAGTTTTCCTTGCTTTTCCTGCTCCCTTCTCTCATGTGAAATAGTATATCTCTTCAATAGGAAAAATCCTAAGTAGTATCTTGCATCAAATTCCATCTCATTGCACTAATGTAAGCAAAGCGCTTCAGATGTAATTTTTACCTTATCTCAACAATGGTTTCATTTCAATAACATTAAGTTATTTTGTTTTATATTAACAAAAATTGACTTCAGTTGTTCGGCAAACCTCATTAATGAAAGCATAAGATAGACTTGCATTTGTGGTTTTAGTCTTAACACATTTTAATGTGCAGAATTGTTCTAATAACTGGGTGCATGTTTATGTCTAATCAGTAAATGTTAAAGGAACGGAAAATAGAAGTGTAGATAGGAAAATGCTTATGGTAGAGGTAGAATATAGGCTTTTATCCACAATATTAAAACTAACCTGGCAAGCTTGTACATGTGTCATTTTACTCATGGGAATAGTCCAATTGAAGTCTGCAGGCTG